GTCTGGGCAGGAGGCTGAGGCCTGGTTCTAAATAACCCTAAATAACCAAGTACAAGTTTGAACGGGATGTGTGCCACTTTAAGAATTAGGAAATATTTTACCCATCCAGAAAAGAACAAAGAATAGTGAAATACCATGTTCTTACCACCTCACTTTATTTAATTTTAACATTTTCGTCCTCTGTGCTTCATTATTTTTAAGCAAATAGGACTTCTCCTACTTCAGCAATAAAAAGGAAGGAACTACTGATACATGCAGCAATTTATAGGAATCTCTAGGACATTATGCTGATTGAATAAAGTCAGTCCCCAGAGGTGACACACTGTAATGATTCCGTTGACATACATTCTTGAAATGACCAGATAATAGAAGTGAAGAACAGATTCCTGATGGCCAGGGGTTAAGGATGGGATATGGAGCTGGAGGGAAGTGAGTGAAAAGGGAAAGTGAGGGATCCTTGTGATAGAAATGAGCTGTTCCTTGCTTCTATCAGTGCCAGTATCCTGGCTGTAAGATTGTGTTAAGAGTTTTGCAAGATGTTACCATTGAGGAAATTGGGTAAAGGGTACATGGAACCAGTTTATTATTTACTATAACTGCATGTGAATCTCTATCTCAAAATTAGAAGTGTAGCTCAAAACAAGACAGCTTCAGATCCCATTAAGTCCCTTTTGATATGTCCTCAATTCCATTTCTCTGCTTCCCTTTCCAGAGGCTGCTACCATCCTGAATTTACTGTTGATCATGTTCACAAAATTTTTAATACATATATATGATTTATATTATATATTATATATATTATTTATATATTATATATTATAATATATATATTTATTTACAGTGTTGGTTATGATATATGGATTTGTAGTTGTTCATTTTCACTGTTGTTGAGAATTCCATGGTATGGATATATTACAAGTTAATAACCCATTCTCCTGTTGATGGACATCTAGGTTGTTTCTAATTTCCTATCATTATCAGCAGTGCTGCAGTGAACATTCTTGTCTCCAATCCTTGTGTATAGGAGGAGAAGTTTCTTTTTTTATGAGTTTATTTATTTATTTGACAGAGAGATTGAAAGAGAGCACAAGTAAGCAGAGTGGCAGGCAGGGAAGAAAGAGAAGCAGGCTCCCTGCTGAGCAAGGAGCCAGATGCGGGACTTTATCCCAGGACGCTGGAATCACGACCTGAGCGGAGCCTTCCGCTTAACACACTGAGCCACCCAGGCGCCCTCAAGTGGACAAGTTTCTTAAAGACAGGTTATCTCTAAGAGGAGAACTGGCCTGATAGTGCAAGCATTTTTAACTTTTCTAGTTATTGCCGAATTGCTCTTTGGAGTGGTTGCAACAATTTACATTACCATATCGGTACATGAGACTTCCCAGTCATCTACAGTCTCACCAACATTTTTATATTTTGCCAGTCTGATGGGCATGAAATGTATCTCACTGCGATTTTTTTTTAAGATTTTTATTTATCTATTTGACAGAGAGAGAGAGAGATCACAAGTAGGCAGAGAGTCAGGCAGAGAGAGAGAGAGGGAAGCAGGCTCCCTGCTGAGCAGAGAGCCTGATGCGGGGCTCGATCCCAGGACCCTGAGATCATGACCTGAGCCAAAGGCAGATGCTTAACCCACTGAGCCACCCAGGCGCCCCTTATTTTTGTTTTTAAAGATATATTTATTTGAGGGAGAAAGAGAGTGCATGAGCACAGGGGCAGAGAGAGGGAGAGAGTCTCAAGCAGACCTCATGCTGAGCTTGGAGCCTGACGTAGGGCTTGATCCTACGATCCTAAGGTCATGACCGGAGCCAAAACCAAGAGTCCACACTTACCCCACTGAACCACCCAGGTGCCCCCATTGTGGTTTTACTTAATCACATTTGCCTCATTTGTGTGTTAGCCATTTAAACTTCTTCCTTTGTCAGTTACCTGCTCATACCTGTATCGGCTAGAGTTTAGTTGGAGAGAACACAGGTCATTCTGTTTTAACCAGAGTAGGAGCTCAGCTAACTGCACCATGCGGGTGTCCCTCCATGTCTTTAAATAGCATGCAGGTACTGTCGATTGAGCTTTTGGTTTATGTATTGTTTTTTGACTTTCTACCATGGAAGATTTAGTTGTTTTTTTACTCCCCCTCCACCACACATAGACACTCCTCCCACGACCACATACTCCCAGTATAGTTATACATCATATTGTTTAGGTCACTTGCATTATAGTGTGTATAAATTGTATTTATAACTGAACCAGGCAGCAATGTACAATTACTTTTGTTTTTCCTGCACAACTTTTTAAATTTTTTAAATTTTATTTATTTATTTTTAAAGATTTTATTTATTTGAGAGAGAGAGAGCGAGTGAGAAAGAGTGTGGGAGAGTAGAAGGTCAGAGGGAGAAGAAGGCTCCCTGCAGAGCTGGGAGCCCGATGTGGGACTCGATCCCAGGACTCGAGGATCATGACTTGAGCTGGAAGCAGTCGCTTAACCAACTGAGCCACCCAGGTGCCCTGGCACAACTTTTTTTTTTGCTTTTAATTTTTTATTATAAAACATGACAAACAGAAAAGTGAAGCTGAGTGAATTTTCACAAAACAAACCCCCATATAACCACCACCCAGGTCAAATAACGACCACCACCCTGGAAGCCCCCTCATATCTTCTCTTATTATCAGTCCTCTTACCCCTTCCACAAGAGTAATTGCTCTGGCACAACTTTTTTAACAATTGTTTTGTGTTTGTTTGATGGTTTACCTCTTAGTTTTGTATGTATGATCTGTGTGATTATCCCTAAAGATATACCGTATTCTTTATCGATTCAATGAATCTATTCTCAGGACGCTCTAGCACCTTCTGAAATACCATAGACTGTTTGCCATCGGCCTGTAGCCAGGGGTCAGTCCTAGGATTTTCCTTCCCCATCTGGGGATTTCCTTGGCCTTTCTCACTGTAGATCACCAGCGCCCTCCACCTGTGTCTTCCTCCTTCCTGTTTCTTTATTTTGGTGGAGGATATTTATTCTCCCATAGTTTTCTGAGAAGAGGAACATACAAGGATAAATTCTCTAGGCTTTCAAGGTTCTGCAGTTTCTCCTCAATGGATCTAGATACAGATTTTTAAAATACTTATCCTGTTAGGGACTTGTACTTCCTGAATCTAAGAATTCATATATATATATATATATTTTTAAATTCTGGACAATTCTTACTCTTATCTCTTTGAATATTGCCTCTCCTTACTCTCTTTATTCTTGCCTTCTAGAATTCAGATTTGATGCATGAACCTTCTTATTTCAATATCCAGATTCCTTAAGCTCTCTTTCATATTTTCCATGCTTTTCTCTCTCTTTAGCAATCTGGATAATTTCTTCAGATCTCTGTGCCCTTTTGGTATTTCTCTTTTCTAGATGTCTATTTAATCTGCCTATTCAGTGTTTAATTTTGAAGGCTTTATGTTTAATTTCTGTAAGTTCTGTTTGGTGCTTTAAAAAATCAAAATTGCACAGGTCTTTTTTTTTTATATTATGGGTTTTTTTTCCCCCTTGCTTATTTTACAGTTTTTACCTGATAGTTTGACTCTCTGGTGTTCTTGGGGTCTACTTCTGCTCATTGCTGTGGAGATCTTGTAATTTTGGATTGCAAACTCATCTTCAGGACAGGGTTCACAGGTGGAGACATTTTATTTCTATGAGCACTCAGAATAGCATTAGTCCAGAAATGTTTTTGTCGGTTTCTCAGCTTTGGGTTACTTGGGCCACATGTGTAGTATCAATTTGAACCTAAAGCCCAGTGAGGGCAGGCCTATTTTTATGAATTTTCAGAGGGGACTTTTTGTCCTCGTGTAGGACCCAAGCCAAGAGGACTTCATCTTCTATGTGAGTGGGGGACATTTTTTCTTTTTGATCCACCATTTCACTGGAGTCTTTGGGGGTCCCAGTTCTGTGAAGAATCTTGTCTCCTGTTCCTGCTTGAACACCTGTGCCCAAGTCCCTGGTTGCCTGAACTTGGCCATGCCCTTTTCCCTGCCCATTTCTACTTGGGGCCCCAGCCACGTCTGCTCAGCTGCTCCTGCTCTGCTTTCTAGTTCTCTCTATTTAGAGGTCCTGCTATTTCCTTTCCTCTCTTACAAGCCCTGCTGGGCTATGAGGAGGGAGTTTTATGCCGATCCAGCCTGTCTAGGATGTTTTGTAGCAGGGAGGGGTTTCAGGCCATGTTCACAGTATTGCCATTTGTACCTTTAAGCCTAGAGATAAAGGGGTTGTGGGAGTGTCAGGGAGGGAAGGTCCATCTGGCTGGGAGGTTCAGGAAAGGGAAGGGAAGATGAATGTCCAAGGGTAGAGACATGGGAGGGGGCCCAGCAGGTGCAAAACCACAGAGGCAGGAAATGACTGTGCAGGCCCAGAGGAAAGCACGAAGCTCTCTTTGGTTGGAGGATGGTCTGTGAAGGGGAAAATGAGCTTGGAGCCGGACCACAGAGCAGCAGGGAGCTGCTCAAACCCCATAGCGCAGAATGCCATGATCATAGCTTTGTTTCAGGAAGTGTAAGCTGGAAGCACCTCCGGGATGTGTGGGTATGGGCGGCAGCCCGAGGGAGAGGGCTTTAGACTTGGAACAGTGCTCCTGGAGGCTATGGAAGAGCCCATGGGATGGACTGTGGGGCCCGAGTGGGGTAGTGGGGGTAGAGAGGAGGGAACCTCTGGGACAGATGATGGGAGAGACTGGGCTGAACCAAATAAAGAAATCTGGGTCAAGAGCTGGGAAAAAAAATAGAAGAAAAGCTAGGCAAACACATTTCTGAATCCTGGAAAATGTCAGCAATTACGAGCCTTGTTCTACCTTTTCAAATTGCTCAGATACTGCCCACAAATGCTAATACACATTTCATCCTGCGATGTGCAAGCTAGAGATGTTTTTAGGCCACCTGATGAATAGTTGTCTTTGGATTAGACACAGTATGTTCCAGTAGAGCTCCTGGAAGTGAGTTGGGATGTGTTTGCCTTTCCTAGAACCTGCCGACATGGCTGAACATGGGACTGATGAGCCGTCTTCAAGGACAGGGAGTCCCGATGGAGAAGGCCGGGCCTCTGGGGACAGACTGTCGCTGCATCAGAGGCTGGCTGTCAGGGAGCTCATTGACACTGAGCTCTCCTACCTGCACCTGCTCCGGCTCTGTGCCTCTGACATCAGGAGCCGCCTGCAGCAGGTACGGGGGCTGCACACAGCCTCCCTTAATAGGGGCAGACCTGGGTCCTGGTTTCTGAGACCCCACAGCTCTTCTAGGGGCAGGCCTGAGGGAGGGGAAGGTGTGGTGGCCGGGAAGTCATCTGGATGGAAGCTGGGGTGCTTCCATTTACTGGGCGTGCAGCCTTCAGCCAGGCCTTTAACACATCAGAGCCTCAGTGTATGCATCTGCTAAATGGAGAGAGGAGTAATCACCCCAGAGAATTAAGTGAGCTAATGCATAAAATAGTCCTTTATCAAATTTAGAACAGATTGCTTAAACTGACCTATATTCCAGTCGTCTCATTTAGGAGATGGCAACAGGAAGAAGTTATCACGATGGTGGGTTTTTACATCTTTTTTTTTTCCCCTCTTGATTTCAGAAATAATACAAGCTCTCTTTATAAAATATAAAGTATCCCTTAGCATGTAAGCACCATTAGGGCAATGTACCCCCAGTTCTGGACGCATAAATCAGAGACTTCCAATTAGTGTTTCTTGAATGAATGAAATACTCAAGTGGGAAATGTGGGAAGTGAAAGTTTTCTCATATTTTACTTTCCAGAAATTAGGATTTTTCTCTGTAGGCATTAAGCAAACAACTACAGGTTGTTACTTATTCCAACAAAAATAAGAGCATACTCTAGAAATCTTTCTGCAGTTAGCTCTTCCTACTTGATTGTGCATCCAGGACACACACGCACAATCTCCTGCATACACCCATGCACATATATAGATGTCCTGCAGTAGAATTGCCAGTTCATAGTAGCTGGAGTTCAGAATATATGTCAAGGTAATGGTGGTGGGTGCCAAGTATGTCAGAACTGGAAGGAAATCCAGCTTTCCACCCTAATCTGACAGATAGGGAAACTGAGGGAAGAAACATGATGGCTGCCAGCAGATCTGGGATAAAACCCCAGTCCATGCTGAGCCCTCCATCTCTTCCTCACTTCCTGTAGAGTAATGAGAACACCTAACTTATAAAGTTTTTCAAAACCTTGCAAACATTCCACTGTGACAATATTCCCAAGAGTAATAGGACCCTGAAGGTGTGAATGTTCTGGACTGATGTCCAAAGTCTGCAAACCGTCCCTCTGCTCAACTCCCAGAGACTCCTATGGTTTTTTGTTCCTTCTAGCTGCCTGAGGGAGATCTGGATGTCCTGTTCTCAAATATCGAGGATGTCATTGAGGTGAACAGCAGATTTCTTCATGATCTGCAAGAGACAACATCCAGGGAAGAGGAACAAGTGTACTTAATTGGTAAGCAAAAGACAAGGCAGTTGTCAGCCCTAGATTCCCATGAATTGTCCTCAGCATGTGGGTATTGCTGAACTATCTCCAGTTCCAGGGAAATGCAGCTCAATGGGAGTTTCTTTTGGGGATCTCTGAAATACAGCATGACAGAGCTGGTAGGACCCTCAAATAATATCCAGCCCAATCCCATCACTTTACAGAAAACAAGATTGGGGCCCAGAGACAAGGAGGGACTAATTTGGTCAGTGGCCTGGCTGAGCCGTTAGTTATTTACTAAGCTTAGTTATATACAGAGCACTTGCCAGTTACTATGCTGTGTGCTGGGGTCACAGCATCAACAAGTGAGTCCAAGTGTCCATTCTTAAGGCTTGACAAGTTAGAGAGACAGCAGATAAACAGATAAACAAGAGAATTTTAGAAAATAATTTAGAATTTGAAGAAAAGAAACAAATGCAGTAACCCTTGGATACAATAGTAGTCCTCCTAGGAAGCGGCCATTTGAACTGAGATCTGAATATTAGGAAGGAGATGGCTATGGGATCTGGAGGGAGAGCAGAAAGAATGGCTGTGCAAAGCCCCTGAGGCAGGGTTATCCCTGCCTAGAACGTTTGAAAGACAGACAGAAGGAAGCCTAGTATTGTCCAGGGAAGTTTATGAGGAGACTATGTTTGGAGATGAGATGGAAGAGGTGGAGAAGGACTGAATCATGTAGGGCCTTCTAGGCCTTGGTAAGGAGTTTGAATTTTATTCTGAATGTGATGAGAAACTATTCAACGGTTTTGAGCAGGAAAGCGATATGGTCCTATTTATCTTTTTGATGACCTCTTTGGCTGTTGCGGACAGTGGGTATGAGAGAGTGGCAAATATGGAAGCATGAGACCAGTGGGGACCTCACTGTCACCCAGGTGAGAGATGGTGGGAGTGTCCTCACTCTGGGATGGTTAGGAGGACCCTTTAGAGCGTAAAGGAGGTGGGATGAGTGGGGATAAACTCACACCTGTGTCCCACATTCTCTTCTCATCTGTTGTCCTGAGCTCACACCACAGAACCCCAAGGTCAGGGGTTTTGAGTGGAGTCAGGCGGGGAAGGTGAAAGGGTACCAGGTAGAGAAGGGGGGCAGGGAGGGCACCCAGCACAGGGCCCACCCAAGTTCCCTGGCCTTTACATCACCAATCTACTCCTTCTGAGACATGAATGATGATGGAGATTAAAAATAACAAGTACACACATTTTTTTTTTTTAGAAAGCCCATTTTCTGAGTGTTTACTAAATGCTTAGCACTGTTCCGGAGTCATGTATTAACTCATTTCATCCTCACATCAACCTGGAAAGGTAGACGCTGCTACCCATTTTACAGTTGAGGACACGGAGGCACAGAGTGGGGAAGTAACCCATCGAGGTCACGCGGCTAGTGGCAGAGCCAGGATTTGAACTTGGTAGTCGGTCTCCGGAGCCAGTGCTCTCTTAACTGTGGCACTGAGCAGCTTCCACGTAGTGGAGAATGGTAGCGAAGCCTGTGAACGTGTTTATTATTCCCTTGAGAATAGAGTTCCTTATTGAAACAGCAATGCGAATGAGTTACCATTTCCTATAAAAAACAGATGAACAGGGGCGCCTGGGTGGCTCAGTGGGTAAAAGCCTCTGCCTTCAGCTCAGGTCATGATCCCAGGGTCCTGGGATCGAGCCCCGCGTCGGGCTCTCTGCTCAGCGGGGAGCCTGCTTCCCCCTCTCTCTCTGCCTGCCTCTCTGCCTACTTGTGATCTCTGTCTGTCAAATAAATAAATAAATAAAATATTAAAAAAAAAAACAAAAACAGATGAACACAAAATGAAAGAACAAGATTTTTTTTTAAGTAGCTGGGTAGATATTCTTAACATTTATCATTTTATCCTTATTTCTATTACAAATTACCATTTATTTGAGTGGGAATCAGTATAACCTCAGGCTGAGGACACGCTGGGGTCCAGGGACTCAGAGTCAGGTTATCCTGTTGCTGTGGTTTAAGGTTCGATGCGGTTCCTTGTGTGAGGGGCCTTGCTTGCCAGTCTCTGCCTTCCTGGTTGACCTGCAGCGAAGAGGCAGGATGTCACTTTGTTTTCCAAACACACCTGGTGATCACTCTGCTCCCTGCCTTCCTGGTAGAGCTGCCAGATAAAATACAGGACCTGGGTGGCTCAGTGGGGTAAAGCCTCTGCCTTCGGCGCAGGTCATGATCTCAGGGTCCTGGGATCGAACCTCACATCTGGCTCTCTGCTCAGCAGGGAGCCTGCTTCCCCCTCTCTCTGCCTGCCTCTCTGCCTACTTGTGATCTCTGTCTGTCAAATAAATAAATAAAATCTTTAAAAAAACTACAGGTCCCAATTAAATTTAAACTTCAGATAAACAATGAATAATTTTTTAAAGATTGTATTTATTTATTTGAGAAAGAAAGAGAGAGATTGAATGTGCACGAGCAGAGGAAGGGTCAAGAAGACTCCCTGCTGGGCGTGGAGCCTGATGCAGGGCTCCATCCCAGGACCCTGAGCCAAGGTCAGACACTTAACTGCATGAGCCACCTGGGTGCCCCGTCAGTGAATAACTTTTTAGTATCAGGATGTCGCATGCAACATTTGGAATATATTTATACTAAAAATGTGTTCATTATTTAGCTGAAATTTAGTCCTGTATTTTTTCCCCTCTGATATGGCAGTCCGATTTCCTGTCCTATTTCCTATTTCCTTTACAGAGTCTACAGAAAATAGCCTTCTCATCCTCTGACCCTGTGGTTAGCCGAAAAAAGGCACAGAGAATCCACATGGCTCTTCTCTTCGGTGCCCTATGTGTTGGGTCCAGGCTGCCCTGGCTTCTGCCAGCTCTCTATTCCTGATCTTGCCAGCCCCCTCGCCTTCTTGCATAAGGAAAGCCCTCCCAATCCTGCAGACACAGCATTTCAAGAGATTTTTAGATCTCAGGCATAGCTGTCTTTAACAGGCTTTTTTCCCCCCAGATGACTTAGGTCCCCTGTCCTTTTCGAATGAGTCCATTACAACTCTGACATTCACAGGCGTCTCTGCCCCGGGTTATCTCACCAGAAGGTGCCCTGGTGTAGCTCAGTGCTGTCCAATGGAAATGTAATTCAATCCGTACACGTCATTGCACATTTTTGAGTAGCTCCATTTGGAAAATTAAAGAAGAAGATAAAATTAATTTTAGTATATTTGATTTATCCCAATATGTCCAAACTCATATTTTAACATGTGATCAATATAAAAGTTATTCATGAGACATTTTGCTGCTTTTTTTGTACTAAGTCTTTGAAATCCAGTGTCTTTTTTACTGACAGCCCTTGGCAATCAAGATTCTCCATATTTCTAGTCCCCAAAGGCCACATATAGCCAGTGACCTCTGCCTCTGGGCGGTGCGGGTCTAATGGTTTGGAGTCTGACTGGCAAGGCTCTGCTGCCCACTGGTTCCTGTGGGTCTCCGAGCCTCAGTTTCTGCCTCTTTGAAATGTGCCAGCCATGACGCTGAGTAGCACAGACTAGCTCTTTCATCCTCACAATACTCTGACTAGTTGATTACTATTATTATTGTCTCCATCTTACTAAAGAAAAACCTGAAGCTCAGAAAAGTTCAATAATTTCCTCAAGGTCATACAGCTTGGCCAGGCAGAGTCAAGAGCCATAACCCTTGACCATCTTGACTCTCTTTCTTGTCTTTCTGATTCATCCCAGCTGTAGGTATACTTTTTTTTTTAGAAAGATTTTACTTATTTATGACAGAGAGAGACACAGTGAGAGAGGAAACACAAGCAGGGGAGTGGGAAAGGGAGAAGCAGACTCTCTACTGAGCAGGGAGTTGGATGTCGGGGCTCGATCCAAGGACCCGGGGATCATGACCGGAGCTAAAGGCAGACGCTTACCCACTGAGCCACCCAGACACCTGATAGGTATTCTTTTGATGCTGGGAGTAACTTTTCCACTGGAGTGACTTGTTTACAGTCTGTGGCCATAAGGCAAGACGAAAAGAAGTTAAGTCTTTATTTTTGCATTCCTGGTGTTCCTGCCCCTTTGGATAGCCGTACTTCCCGGGAGTTTGCCCTCCTCTACCGCTGGCCACGCTAGGCTACAGTTCCTTTGCCATCAGTCACATTTGTGTTGACCCCTTCCTGGGTTAAGAAGAATATGGGAACCAGCCTACATTTCAGGGCTGCCCCCAGGCTGTCTCTTAGCTGGGATGGTCTCTGCAGTTGGCTGATCTCCTGGCATGCACATTCTCCCTAGCAACAGTTTTGTGTCCTCTTTTCTCTGTGCTCCCTCCTTCTGGGGGCTTCTCCTGAGGCATTCTCTCTGAGGATCGGCTGGGTCAGAACTGGGGAAGAGGACTGGTCCTGTGTGGCAGTCTGGGTGGCTGAAAGCTAGACCATGCCGAACTAGGCACTGTCCCATGTGTCTGATGGGGTCTGGTCCAGGTCAGAGGCCCAGCCTGTAGCTTCAGCAGGCAGTAGGGTCTGCTGAGCTTCCTGTGGTCCACAGCCCCCAACTCCCATTCTTGGCTAACACATTTCTCTTCACCCTCACCACTTCCCCCTGGATGGATGACCATAGGCTCTTGTGGGTGGGTGAGGTAGTATTCTTTCTTTCTTCCTTCCTTCCTTCCTTCCTTCCTTTCTTTCTTTCTTTCTTTCTTTCTTTTTTAAAGATTTTATTTATTTGACAGACAGAGATCAGAAGTAGGCAGAGAGGCAGGCAAAGAGAGAGGAGGAAGCAGGCTCCCTGCTGAGCAGAGAGGCCGACGCGGGGCTCGATCCCAGGATCCTGGGATCACAACCTGAGCTGAAGGCAGAGGCTTTAACCCACTGAGCCACCCAGGTGCCCCGAGTGAGGTAGTTTTCTAACTGCCATTCCTGTAACCACTTTTGACCCCTAGTTTAGTCTCAACATAGTATAGATCTTTTTTTTTTTTTTTTAATTAATAGACTTTACTTTTTAGAGTGCTTTTAGGATTACAGACAAAATAAGTAGAACGTACAGGGAACTCTCATATGGTCCCACTCTCCGTAACTCATAGAAGTGGAATCACAGTATTTGTCCTCTCGTGTTTGGCTCTCACTTGGTATAATGTCTTCAAAGTTCTTTTTAAACTTTCTAAATCTTGGGCATCTGGGTGGCTCAGTAGGTTAAGCCTCTGCCTTCAGCTCTGTTCCTGGTCTCAGTCAGGGTCCTGGGATCGAACCCCACGTTGGGCTCTCTGCTTGGCTGGGAGCCTGCTTCCTCCTCTCTCTGCCTGCCTGTCTGCCTACTTGTGATCTCTCTCTCTGTGTCAAATAAATAAAATCTTAAAAAAAACCAACTTTCTAAATCTTAAAATAATTTTAGATTTACAGAAAAGTGGCAAAAATAGTACAGAGGTCCTAAACAACCCTCAAACTAGCTTTTCCTTATTTTAACATCTCAGATATCCATAGTATATTTTTGATACCAGAAATTAGCATTATTGCAACGCTATTAACTCTACAGACCCTATTCACATGTTGCCTGCTTTCCTACAGATGTCTTTTTTTCTGGCCCAGGATCCAATCTAAGTTACCACAGTTCATTTTATTGACATGTTCTCTTGGCCTTCTTTAGTCTGTCTTTCATGACCATATACTTCTGAAGAGTCTGAGCCAGGCTTGTAGTATATCTGTCACTTTGAAGTTTTCAGTTATTAAAATTAAAATGATATTATAGATTGTATAAAAGCTTAGGTATGTATAATCTATATTTTATAAATTATAAAAGTACATATTTATAAACATTTTATGTATTTATAAAATTAAAATTATTTTTGGGACACCTGGGTGACTTTGGTTCAGGCCTTTGGTTCAGGCCATGATCCCAGGGTCCTGGGATCGAGTCCCACATCGGGCTCCTTGCTCAGCAGGGAACCTGCTTCTCTCTCTGCCTCTGCCTGCCACTCTGCCTGCTTGTGCGCGCTCTCTCTCTCTCTCTCTCTCTGACAAATAATAAAATATTTTTAAAAAATTAAAATTATTTTTATTCTTAAATTGACATAATACATTTTTGGCAGTAATATCGTGGCCAATGTCCTGTCCTCCTTAGTGTGTCAGAACAGGGGCACTTGCTGTTCCCATATGTTATTACTTAGAATAATGTTAACTTTGATCACATGGTTGATAGAAGGTAATATCTGTTGTGTTTTTCCACTATAAATATGATTCCACTATAAGTAATATATATAATTTTCCCCTTGTTATTCATGAATAGCTTACGGAGAAAAACTTTGATAGTATCCAAATGTCCTATTTCATCTCAAACTTTCACCCATTAGTTTTTTTTTTTTAAGATTTTATTTATTTATTTGAGAGGGAGAGAATCAGAGAGAGCATTAGCAGGGGGAACAGCAGAGGGAAAGGGAGCAGCTGAGGCAGAGGGAGAATTCTGCAGGCTCCCCACTGAGCAAGGAGCCCGATGAGGGACTGGACGCCAGGACCCTGGGATCATCACCTGAACAGAAGGCAGACGCCCAACCAATAGTTTTAACATCCATCAGTGGTTCTTGCCTACAAGAACTATTACTGGTGTTCTCATGGTAATTTCTATTTCGCTTATCCCTTCGACATTTATTTATGGCAATTTTTCTGTAAGCAAGAACTGTCCCTTCATGCGCATTCATTTGTTCAGTTATTGATTTATGACAGTATGGCCTCTTGAATGTTTACTTTATTCTGTGAGTCAGAATCCAGTACTATCGTTATTTATTTTCTTGTTCAGATTGTACCAGTGTTGGCCATTGAGAGCTCCTTCCAGTTGGCTCCCGTGTCCTTGTAGTACGCCTCTGATAATTTTTGAGAACATCCTTATTTTCTGACACCACAAGGTGTTCCAGGCTCATCTTGTGTTTCCCTGCCCTGTCTTTGGAATCAACCATTTCTCCTAGGATCCCTGGTTCCTATTTGGGGAGAATAGTATTTAGACACCAAGCTCAAGGCTGTAGGTGTGCTCGTTGCCCCTGGGATGTCAACTAATAGAGCTGGGATATATATGTATATATACTAATGTATGCATATACACTACATTTCTTTCTATATCTATCTGTCTTTATTTATATATTGAAACCGTGAGCTCATACTGATACCTACAATTCCAGTCCATCCAATCCATGCTCACCTCTTATCCCTATTACCCAATCCCATTCCCTCGTTCTTTCCACCCCAATCCATCCACCTGCTGTAGGTAACCAATCTCATAAATTTCTGATTTAAAAATATGGAGTGCGGGGCACCTGGGTGACTCAGTCGTTAAGCATATGCCTTCCACTCAGGTCATGATCCCACGGTCCTGGGATCAAGCCCCACGTCCTGACTCTCTGCTCAGCGTGGAGTCTGCTTCCTCTCTTTCTCTGCAGCTGCCCCTGCTTGTGTGCACACGTGCTCTCTCTGTCAAATAAATACAATCTTTAAAAAATAAATAAAAAATAAAAAATATGGAATGCTTCATAGATTTGCCTGTTATTCTTGTGCAGGGACCACGCTCATCTTCTCCATATTGTTCCAACTTCCGTGTATGTGCTGCTGAAGCCGAGCGCTAGAGTGGTCTTTTTTTTTTTTTTTTTTTTTTTTAAAGATTTTATTTATTTGACAGACAGTGATCACAAGTAGGCAGAGAGGCAGGCAGAGAGAGAGAGTGAAGTAGACTCCCTGCTGAGCAGAGAGCCCAACGCGGGGCTCGATCCCAGGACCCTGGGATCACGACCTGAGCCGAAGGCAGAGGCTTTAACCCACTGAGCCACCCAGGCGCCCCTAGAGTGGTCTTTTTAACACAGAAAGCAGATCATCCCTGCTCAAACCCCTGCCTCTGTTAGAAGAAAACACAAACACTTTACTCCATCTTACCTACCTACTTGAGGCCCTGTGTGATCTGGCTGCAGCTGCTGGATTATTTTCTCTGCTTTGTGCCCTTGTTTACTCTGCTTCGGCTATTCTTGCCTTTTTTGCTGTTGCCTATATGCCCAGTGCTCTCCTGCCTAAGGCTTGAAGCCCTTTGCATTTTCTTTCCGAAAGCCTGGAGTGCTGCTCCCACTCCACGTTCCCAGGGCCCGGGTGCTTCTGGTCTCTGATAAACATGCACGTCCTCCTGGAGGCCTTCCTTATGGAGATCTTCTACTGCTTTCTAACGCTTGGTTATGCTTCTTCGTATCATCACATTGTGACAGGTGTAACGTATTTACTTACTGCCTGTCTTCACCACGGGGACACAGGCTCCATGAGGCAGGGACTTTGTTTTGTTCGCAGGGCGCAGAAGGGGGCATGACGTCTAATCCATAGGTAAGCAGTTGGTAAATATTGTGGGAGTCAAGTTTGCATCAGATGTTTTTACACGCTGTGTTTGATTTAGTTCTAACAACAACAACAAAAAAACACTTAGAAGTGAAGACTCTTATTCTAATCTGTGGGTGAGAAAATGGAGGATCCAAGAGGTCAAGGGCTCACCCTAGGTCATGCCCCAGGGGAAGGGTTGGCTGGAGAGCTGTTTCTGGTCCTCTCTGACTGCAGAGCCCATGCAGGTGACAACCTGTGCTCTGCTTGAGCGTGTCTTTGTAGACTGGGGTTTGAAGTTGTCCTTGGCACACACGTGATTGTAAAGGTGTGACACGAGTATGTTCTGGGACCTGTAAAGCACCTCACTAATAATATTACTGCTCTAATGATAGCTGTGCTTTAGTAAGACTCCCCGGGCGCCAGCCTGAGCAGCGTTGCGTCACGTAATCCTTCCAGCAGCCTTTTGAATGCAAGATGGAAACTCAGAATGAAGAGGTAATTTGCCCAAAGTGGCCCAACAGGTCAGGCCTGGTGGTCTCAGTCCCCAGCGGAGGGCTCATCTGTCTAACCACCTCCATGTCCCAAGTGAGGGGACAGACAGACATGCCTTTGGGGGCTCCTGTTGCTTTTTCACCATCAGGCAACTTGTTCCTGGAATTCCAAGAGGAGCTGGAGCGAGTCTACAGGGTCTACTGCGCCAGCTACGACCAGGCCTTGCTGCTGGTGGAGACCTACCGGAAGGAGCCGGAGCTGCAGCGAGAGATCCAGAGCGTCATCGAGGCCGTGGTGTGAGTAGCACGACCAGTGCGCGTGCGCTCCTGCTGCCGTCGGCCCTGGGGGCGGGAGCCGACAGGGTCTCTCCCCTCCTCGGTGTTGTTGCCGGTGCTGCTGCAGGGACACAATCCCCGACTCTAGGTGGCTTCGAGTAACAAAGGTTTATGCCTTCCTGATGCTCCACTGCGGGTCACGTGAGGCTCTTCTCTGGGCCATCCTCGCTTCGGGGCCCACGCCGACAGCAGCCGCTCTCTGGGTTATTGCCAGTAACTGCAGCAAAGGGCAAGGGAGCTCTGGAGGGCTCAATGCAGCCAATAAGTGCTCCAGGCCAGGGGCGCCTGAGTGGCTCAGTGGGGGAATTAAGTGCTCCAGGCCAGAAATGATATGCATCCCTTTCTCATAATTCATGGCCCAGACCTAATCCCGTGGCTTTGTCTACCTGCCAGGAAGCCAAGGTATGCCACCCTGCCTGGGGGTCCAGAGGTGGAAAAGCAGAAACATTTGGTGAACAGCACTCCTTTCTCCCACGGGAAGGGCAGTGAGATGGTGGGAACCATGTGCTGTAGGCAGCATGGGATGAGGCGGGCTCGGATCACCCCGGAAGGCCTCTCCACACACAGTTGAAATAGGATCCAAACTGCCCTGGGTGGCCTCACCACCCAGACCTGGCACCAGTGTGTAGAAGCTCTAGATAGAAATTTGGAGTGAGCAGGAATTCCTGGGTGGCTCTGTCGGTTGAGTGTCTGCCTTTGGCTCAGGTCATGATCCCACGGTCCTGGGATCGAGTCCCGTATCCTGCTCCCTGCTCAGTCTGCTGCTCCCCCTGCCTGTGCTCTCTCTCACTCCCCCTCAATTTCTGACAAATAAATAAATAAAATATTAAGAAAAAGAAACATGTAGAGAACAGATATTTTTTAAGTTAAAATTTTGAGTGGCGAACAGTTACATAGTTCAGAAGCTTTTTTAAAAATTGATGCCCCAGAAGCTTTAAAAAATCCAAAGTTATGCAACACAAAAAATCCTGTCCTGTCCTGTCCAATCCTGTCCGTTCATTTACCTAAATACTACTCCCAGCCCCAAAGTCATGCTAACCACTTGTAAATTGCTTGTGGATCTTTGTAGAGTTCCTTTATGCATATAGAAGCAAATCAAATATATGCTGTCATTTCACTGCCTTTTTAAAGAAAGTTTGTATTTTTTTCCCCTCACCATGTATCGTGGACACCCTCCTATTTCAGTGCATACATGTATGAGCCTTTGAACAGCGTGTTCCTCTACCACATGGCTGTTCCCCAGTTCATTTAACTGGTTTCTATTAGTGGGAATTAATTTGCTTCTTTTCTTTTGCTATTACAGATCGCATTCAGTCATTACTCGTGAGTGTATGTCATTTTACTCAGGTGCATATAGTTTTTTTTTTTTTAAGATTTTATTTATTTTAGAGAGAGAGTGTGTGTGCATGGGTGGGGGGATGGGCAGTGCAAGAGGGAGAGAGAGGCTTTCACGCAGACTCTTCACTGAGTGCAGAGCTCAATGCAGGGCTTGATCTCAGGACCCTGAGATCATGAGCTGAGCCAAAACAAAGTCAGACACTCAACCGACTAAGCCACCCAGGTTTCCCACAGGTGCAGATGTTTCTGTAAGGTGAATGTCCAGAGGTGGACTTTCTAGGTCAAAGAAAGCATATATGGATAATTTTGCTAAGATTGCAAACTTTCCTTCTATAAAGGCTATACTGTGAGCAAGGTATGGGTGTCTGTTTCCTCATAGCCTCACCAGGGTGTGTCATTAAACTTTAGAGTAATGCCACTGAGAGAGGTGACAAATGGTGTCTCAGTGTGGTTTCATTTTGTATTTACTTCTCATAATTAAAGTTGGTCATTTCCTCATATATTTAAGGTCATTTATATTTCCTTGTCTGGGATTGTCCTGCTTCTTTTCTATTTCAAAAAGGCTTTTACCTTCCCCAGGACAAGCTCCCCAAATGGAGATAGATGAAGGTCATTTTCTGGAAATCAGAATACTGCAGGAGGATGAGAGGCGATTGTTATTTTATCTTACTTAGACATTCCCTTTACACCCAAGAGAAGGACTGTGCAGAGTTAGATCTTTGAAGATGATGTTATCTCCTATGGAAGCTCCTGCTTCCTCCCCTGCTCCTCTCCCTTGCCTATCCCCCCAACCTCCTAAAGCCTCCTTTTCAATTACCCATGTCCTGGCTCCTCACTACCCCCCCCCAAAACTATATTCACTTCCCCCTTCGATTCATCCTTTCATGGGTCTTAGAAACTTAGGTTTTGGGGCACTTGGGTGGCTCAGTGGGTTAAGCCGCTGCCTTTGGATCAGGTCATGATCTTAGGGTCCTGGGATCCAGCCCCGCATCGGGCTCTTTGCTCGGGGAGAGCCTGCTTCTCTCTCTCTCTCTCTGCCTGCCTCTCTGCCTACTTGTGATCTTTCTCTGTCAAATAAATAAATAAAATCTTAAAAAAAAAAAAAGAAACTTAGGTTTTTGTGAGGGTCACTAAATACATTTCAATAGGAGAGAGGCAGATAACAAAAACAAGAGTGGCACATGTGGGGCATAAGGGAGCAGTGGAGACTGTGGCCAACCAGAGCCAACAGACCCCGTGTAGAGAGCAGATGCAGCCCTGTTAACGTTCCCTGTATAACAGAGCACCCAGAACAGAATGGCTTAAGACAGACACGTGTTTGGTTCATTCTGCCGCTTGTTAGCAATATGGCTGGGCTCCATAAATGATTCCTCTAGCCCCGCCTGAGTACCTTCACATGCCCATGATCACCTGCAGGTCAGCACTGCTGATCTCAGCTGGGCTCTCTTGTATGTCTGAGACACCGGGCTGACTCAGCTCTGGCTATACAGGCTCCCGTCACCTGGCCGGTGGCCCAGGCTTGTTCGCATGGTGGTCACAGGGTTGAGACAGGGGGAGAGCGGGAGGGAGGGAAAAGGGAGGTGGGGGGCAGGAGAGGTTAAGGCCTTGGGAGGTCTTGGCTGGGAATTGGTGTTCTGTGACAGACCCAAGGGGTGGAAAAATTGACGCTGCTTCTCAAGGGGAGGAGTTTCAGGGTCGTACACAAAGTGGGTACAATAGCAGCCGCCACAACTAAGGGTGTGCATGCAGAGAGTAGAATAATTACAGCCCTACTTTACAAGCCATCCGCCTCAGTTGCCATGTAGGACTGTGAGTCCACTGTGGCCAGACCCTCCTGCTACTCAAAAGAAGTCAGAAACTGTGATAGAACATCTCCCAGGTGCCAAATACTGGCATCGAGCTCAGACAGGTTAGAAGCACTGTCGGGGGGCCCTGGTTGGCTCAGAGGCTGCGGTTTCTCATGTCTCCCACACTCCGGTCTTTCCCAGCCAGACCAGTCCACGCTTTTCTCATGGGCTCCGGTGCCACACTGCCCAGTGGTGGATCTGGCTCCGCTCCAGCTCACCTTGGCAGAGCCATTTCATGTCTCCGAACCTGGTTTCCTTACATGTGAAAGGGGGAGTAATAACTGTGCCTCATAGGGGTTTGGACTCACTTGTACCCAAGTGACACTGTAAACCCCAGGTATTACCCTTGTCCGACTGGGCAGTGTTTATAGTTCTCTAAAACCATACTGTGGCTCTCAGCACTAGTGGTTCCAATACTCCTTTTTTTTTTTTTCCTTTTTTTAAGGAATTTATTTATTTGAGGGAGAGGGATAGAGCACAAGCAGGGGGAGCAGCAGAGGGAGAAGCAGGCTCCCTGCTGAGTAGGGAACCCAACGTGGGGCTCAATTCCAGGACCCCAGGATCATGACCTGAGCCAAAGACAGATGTTTAACCAACTGTGCCCCCCAGACGCCCCCCCCCTTTTTTTAAGAGAGTGAGAGAGGAGTAGGGGAGAGGGGCAGAATGAGAGGGAGAGAGAAAATCTTAAGGAGGCTCCACACCCATCACAGATCCCGATGCGGGGCTCGATCTCATGACCCAGAGATCATGACCTGAGCCAAAATCAAGGGCCTGACATTCAACCAACTGAGCCACCCAGATGCCCCTCAATGCTCCTTTTTTGTAAAAAACTTTTAATTAATATCCTGACATATATTCTTGAAATAGATTGGCAGATAGCTAGATAGATAGATAGAGACCCTGCCTGTATACATAACTGAAAAGAAAAGATAATGGCTTAAAAGTAATAAAAAGAAGTAAAAGGAAAATAATGTCTAATAAAGTAATATGTATTTCAGTGTGGAACTGCCTGGGCACCACTACCCTAGAAATCTAATGAAAGAATCAGATGCTGGCACCTACTTGTAATAAATAAGTTTGGATTCAAGCAAAGAAAAGTCAGAAGCCATTCCACGTAAGAAGTATCGAAAAAGGAAAGAGCAGAGAAGGCACATGCCGTAGAATGACAAGTAGCAATGAGAGCAAACTTGACCTCCCTGTGTATGATAAGAAGAAGCAAACGACATAAATGACACAGGGATAGCATTGTGCTCTGGGGGCAGAGGAAGTGAGGAAGTAGGACATATGATGTTCTTGCAGATGGTCTGGGTCTTATTTATTAAAGGTAGCATCCTAAAAATTTCCAGTGCTTGGGGCGCTTGGGTGGCTGTCGTTAGGTGTCTGCCTTTGACTCAGGTCCTGATCCCAGGATCCTGGGTTTGAGCCCCACATCAGGCTCCCTGCTCAGCAGGAAGCCTGCTGCTCCCTCTCCCACTTCCTCTGCTTGCATTCCCTCTCTCACTGTCTCTGTCAAATGGTCACAGTAGAAGGAGAGGGAGAACCAGGCTCCCTGCTGAGCTGGGAGCCTGGTTCTCTTTCTCCTTCTGCGGTTCTCCCTGCCTGTGCTTATGTTCTCTCACTCTCTCTGTCAAATAAATAAGTAAAATCTTAAAAAAAAAAGACTTCCAGTGCTGTGATCAGTGACTGGATGGAGTTGAATAGTCACAAGAACACCTCCATTCTTGAACTTGCAGCACATTTTCAGGCATTCATTCAGCCTGTGCATGTTCAGAGGGCCCTAGGAGACATGGCACCCTGCTCCACAGTGCAGGGCTGTCCTTGCAGACGGCCTGCTGCCCTGGACCCTCCTGCTAAGTGCCTGGAGCAGCCCAGTGCCTGCAAGTTTCCACCGTGCCCTCGATGAGAGCCCCTGTTCCATTGTTGCCCTGGGAAGGCCATTCATGCCAGCATTGCTTTCCACCTCCTCTCTCTTGAGACAGTAGTCCTGATTTTCTTGTGCGTATGATCACGGGACTGTTTCTGGAGCTTAACCGACTAGAATCACCACACCAAGCAGTAAGGGGTTCTTTTTCATCCATCTAATCCAATTCTTTGTGATTCCAAAATGCGTGCTGCTTGCTACCTTTTTATTTGGGTGGGTGAGCAGGCAGGCTCTTCAATCTCTTAATGCAGCTCCCACCTGAGGGCCAGGGGATCAAAGCTTGCCCCTGCACTGGGCAGGAAGCTCTGCAGCTGGGGGCGGGGGGTGGGGGGTAAAGCTGCCCTGCAGAGGCTGATCAGTCCAGCAGAGCGCCCACTGTCTCAGAATGACAGCCGAGGCAGTGTTTGGGGAGGGCAAATAATCTCTTTTCCTTTATTGACAATCTTCCATCATTTTATTTTTAAAAAATTTTAAACACTTATTTGAGACATAAGCAGGGGGAAAGGGCAGAGAGAGAGGGAGAAGCAGACCCCCCACCAAGCAGGGAGCCCAACACGGGGTTCCATCCCAGGACTCTGAGATCATGACCCGAGCTGAAGGCAGATGCTTAACTTTATGTGCCACCCAGGCGCCCCTCTTTTTTCATTTTAAATATAAAAGTAATGAATGCTTACTGAAAAAAAAAAAAAGGAATATTTAAACAAAACACGGGGAAATAAAGAGTAAAAGTCCTTTGTCCTTTGGTCTCATGTTTCTCCGTCCCTCCACCTGCTGGTTAACTTTTCCATCCAAACTTTCTTCTGTTCATTTACTATTTTTCTTTAAAGATTTTATTTATTTATTTATTTATTTGACAGACAGAGATCACAAGTCGGCAGAGAGGCAGGCAGAGAGAGAGGGGGAAGCAGGCTCCCTGCCGAGCAGAGAGCCCGATGTAGGGCTTGATCCCAGGACCATGAGATCATGACCCCAGCCAAAGGCAGAGAGGCTTAGTCCACTGAACCACCCAGGCACCCCAGCATCTGACTCTTGATCTCAGCCCAGGTCTTGAACTCAGGGTCATAAGTTCTATCCCCATGTTGGGCCTACTTTAAAAAAAAATTTTTTTTCCTCCAGATTACCTTAGAAAAGCTGTAATCATAAAAGGCTGCTATGATTCTGTCATGACCCCTTGCTAATTGTGGAGAAGAGCAGCGATCCTCTCTTTGAAGACCCCATGTACTCTTATTTGTGGACAGCTGTCCGCATGAGGCGGTTGCACCGTTTCCCATGGAAAGTCAGCCCAGAGGACAGAGCTTTGCAAATATCTGGTGACTTTTCCATCTCCACTGCCTGTGGTTGGCCAAATGCTAGGAAACCCATGGTGAGAGCAGATGGTCAGTGTAGGCACATCTTGACAGGTATTCCTACCCCTGCCTCCCCCACAACCCCCCGCGGCTAATGAGGGAGCACCCACCTGTTCTGCCTGTTCCTAGCCTCAGGACTGATACTTCCTGGACATTTGGTCTGGAAATATTTCCTTAGGAGGAAGAGTAAGAGGCCAGGGTACCATGGAGAGGGGCTGGAGAATGGCTTTGAGCAGCATCTGTGAGTCCTTTTGGAGGAGGCGTGCTAGACACTGAGGTTTGAAACCCTCATAGGCTTCTTGAAAGGCAGGTCTGAGGGCTCCTGGTTATGATCAAGGAAAACTGTGGGAACCTCTTCCCAGATACCACTGACAGGTAATTTTTCCTGCAAATCCCCGAAATCAGCAAGAAAGGGACTAGAAAAAGTCATCCATTCATCAAATAGTGCATCTGGAAGGGATCTTGACACTATTCATTCTTGTGTTTCGCACCTGTAGAAAAATAGAATGTAATAAACATATACCACTACCTAAAACTAACCAGTGTTAACATTTTGCTGCTTTTTTTATGCTGAACTGTTTAAATACAAATAATAGAAATGATGACTGTTTACCATTAAATAAGTTTTTTTCCCCCTAAAAATTTTACTTATTTATTTGAGAGAGAGAGAGAGTTGAAAAGAACAAGTGGGAGGAGGGACAGAAGGAGAAGCAGACTCTCTGGAGAACAGGGAGCCTGACCCAGGACTCAGCCAGGACCCTGGCATCATGACCTGAGCCGAAGGCAGAGGCTTAACCAACTGAGCCACCCAAGCACCCCCTACCCTTAAATACTTTTTTTTTAAAGATTTTATTTATTTATTTGACACACAGAGAGAGAGAGATCACAAGTAGGCAGAGAGGTAGGCAGAGAGAGAGGAGGAAGCAGGCTCCCTGCTGAGCAAGGAGCCAGATGTGGGGCTCGATCCCAGGACCCTGAGATCATGACCTGAGCTGAAGGCAGAAGCTTAACCCACTGAGCCACCCAGGCACCCCTACCCTTAAATACTTTAAATGCATCTCTATAAACACAAAGTTCCTGTGATTTTTTTTTTTTTTGAACTTTCAACTGTTAAAGCCACAAAACCATTTTACTGCATGAAATGTCAAATGTCAAATGCCCTGCATACAGAGTTGAGCTTGGGACATAGCCAGGTGGACATGTCACGCAGGCAGCTGACCGTGTGAGTCCAGAGCTCAGGACAGAAGTGGGAAAACAGAGGTCTGGGGTTTAAAGCCAACAGACTAAATGAAGTCAGTAAGAGAAGGAGTGGAGGGGAGGGAAGGCCCGAGGGTGCTCTGGCATTGGAGGGAGGCCAGCAGAGGAGGCCAAGAGAATGTCCCACGGAGCAGGGAAAGCAGGACGAAGGGCATCTCTGGGGCCAAAAGAAGAAAGTGTTTCAAGAGCAGGGACAAGTCAGCTGTGTCTGCTGCTGACAGGCCAAGGACATGGAGGACCGAGAACTGACCGTTGCATTTAGTACAGATGGGAAACCAGGACCCAAAAACTGGAAGAGTGAGAACTAGCAGCGCCTCTCTAGCATCTAGACCTCATGCATTACAGATGAGGAAACTGAGAACCACATAAGGAGGGTGACTTGCCTGAGATCACACAGCGAGTTAAAAGGCGGAGCTGGACCTAGAGCCCGGGGCTCCTGTTCCCCGAAACAGTGGGTTTCCCCTACCTAATGCCAGCCTTCTCCCTCAGGCCACAAGCTGGGCCCTCGGGCCTCAGTTTCTTACTGGTGATCCCTCTTCAGAGGATTACAAAGTACCCACTGCTGCTGCAGAAAATCCTGGAGAACACAGTCCCTGATGCCAGTGCTTACCCTGTGCTTCAGAGGGCTGTCTCTGCCCTCCAGGACGTGAACACCAACATCAATGAGTACAAGAGGCGCAAGGAAGTGGGTAAGGACTTGGGGGATTTAGGGGTTATATCAGTGAGAATGCTTCCAGCTACAAAAACACTAATTTCAAATCATCTTCATTAATAAATGTAGTGGCTCATGTAACCGCAAGTCCAAAGGTAATGTGGACTTTAGGTAGGGTTTGATCAGGGTCCTGGCTCCATTTCCCTAAAATTTTCTCATCTCTGATCTTTACTGTGTGTTACTTCGTGTCCAGGCTGGCCTTCCTCATAGCAGTAAGTGGCTATTGCTGTTCCAAGACTCACATCTGATACCACACCCTGCAGGGATCTTTCACCCCTTAGTCATAAATTAGATTGGAGTGTCATTCTGATAGGACCCATTTGGGTCCTGTGCTCACCCTGAACCAGTCACCATGTTTAGGGGAATTCCATAAGCTGTTTGGCTTGGGCCTGGCTTATATCTCATTCTTGGAACCAATCACTGTGATCAGGAGTTTGAGATTATATGAACTGGCTTATCCCAGCTAGCACCCACCCCTTGAACGGAAGCAAGATCAGTCCCATGCAAACCACATTGCATATACTGTGGAGGAGAAATTAATATGGAGGAGACCAAGAGCTGTGTGTGTGTGTGTGTGTATACACACATACCTTGGGAAGGCCAGCTAGTGCATGAGAAACTCTGTCTCTTAGGTTGTTAAAACAAAAAGGTTTGGGAAATGAGGCAGTGTCCCAGGTAGAGAGCAAACTCCACTGTGCCATCTGGATGGTATGCTAGTGATAATCCAGCTCCTGTGACACGTCTTCCATTCCTTATCTGGTTTGATCCTTACCGTTGCTCTTGGAGGCTGGCCCCGGTAGCCCCATCTCACGGTCAGGTCAAATGAAAGCTCTAATCGTTCCCTCCAGATTCCAGAGCTAGTGAGAGGCAGAGCCGGCTTTCAGACTCAGGCCCGGGGTGGAAAGCCCTGCACTGGGAATGGGGCTTCATCGTTCCCAGCCTGGCCCAGCTGACATGGGCCTAAGGACTTCAGGCAACTCACCTCTCCCTTGAGTCCTCCTTTAGAAAGTCCATTCAAACCCACTGTCTTCTGTGATCCTCCGAGCAAGCACAGGAGGTGGCCGGTCTCGTTTACGAATGAGGAAGCAGGCCCAGGAAGGGGTGCCTTGCCCAAGTCAGGCTGCTTAGCCGGCCTCACACCTTGCAGCCAGCCCGGGGCTTGCCCTCTGCGTGCTGCTGTTGGAGCAGGCGTACCACTGGCGTTTGAGACGAGGGCCTAAGTGGGTGCCTAGCCAGGTGTGTCCAGGACGCCTGCTCTCCTGGGTCAGCTCTGGTCCCCGTGCCTTCTCTCTCCTCTGTTGCTGCAGCCTCCAAGTATGCCAGAGTGGAGCAGCTGACCCTCCGGGAGAGGCTGGCCCGCCTCAACACACACACCCTCTCCAAGAAGACCACTCGGCTGAGCCAGCTGCTGAAGCAGGAGGCCGGGCTTGTGCCCAGGGTGAGCCTGGGCGGAGGAAGGGTGGCATCCCCGCCCTTCCAGAGGGGAAGGACGGTGCTGTGGGTGGAGCAGGTGGCTTAGACTCCTGTCAGAGGTGGCGGCTGAAGGGGCTGCAGGGACCTCTCCGCATGCGTGCCTAGGAGGGGCTGAGCTGGCACCCTCACGTGATTCCAAAGAGCCGTCTGGGGCTCTCTCCAGGGCACCCTGTGCTGTCCTTTTCTGAGCATCACTATCTGCAGGTAGGAGAGCTAACCTCTGGACATGGGCAAGGGACCCACTTGGAATAGCTCCCAGGAGCAGCTCAGGTTGCTGGGGGCACTTACTCTAGACCAGGCATTATTTGATCAGCACAATGAAGTAGGTGTTTTTATTACCCCATTTGCAGCTGAAGAAAACAGGCTCAAGGAGGATAACATTTGCCCCAGGTCACACAGCCAGGGACCCAGTACGCCTGCGCTTGCGTATCTTACTCCGTGATCTGAGTACCAAACCACTAAGCAGCACTCACTGCCTCTAACCATCCCACTCAGCTTTGGGGCTGAAGGACCTGGCTCTGGTGGACAGGGCTGCAGAGAGGTGGGCCCCAGTGAGAGCTTGGGACGCGGATGTGCCCCTGCCGTTACCCCGCCTCCTCCCTGCGTGGATATTCTCAGCGTTCACAGATCTCACTCTCCTCTCAGACGGAAGACAAGGAATTTGACGATTTAGAAGAGAGGTTCCACTGGGTGTCACTGTGTGTGACTGAGATGAAGAACAATGTGGCCGTTTACCTGGATAATCTGGAGGTGAGGATCCTGCCGGTAAGGATGGCTGGGCTGGGCTGGGCTGGGTCCCCCAGGCAGGACGCCCAGGGTCCACCCAACAAGCTGGCAAAGGCACCAGCCGCAGGAACCCAAATGGAAGAGGTCACCAGGTCGCTGGCCGCAGGTCAGATGAAGGGCCACAGGCTAGTGCTCCCCAGCCCACAGCCTCCAAGCCCATTGAGCTCTCAGGGGTGAGATTCCCACTGAGCAGGGTTAAAATTCACTGGGGTTCGAGTCCCACCCCACCAAGTCAGGCACCTCGAGCAGGTGACACAGGTGCCTATGAAAGTGAGGCAGGTAATATTGTCGCATGAAATGTGCACATGTCCGAGGCTTAGTGTCTAATAGGCTGTTGACGAGACTTTTTCAGTAGAGTTAAATGCATAATAATACTTAGAATTTGACCGTATGGATGAACAAAGCCTAAAGGGGCAGCAGTTACTTGACTTGGAGAAGCCGTGGCTGTTTGGGAATGTGGACCCGGCAGTAGCCAGTTCTGGTTTTAGGAGGAAAAAAACTTTCAGATGATATCTCATGATGTGTCCACATGAGCAGCAAATTTAATGAAAACTTAAGTGCTCTGTAGGCCCAAGAAAATGTATTTCTACAGGCTGAATTCAGCCCACAGGAACACCAGTTTGCATGCCAACAGGCACATTATTTTCCTTGTCCCAAAACTCTCCTTCACTGTTGTCATCGATGCTGACTCATTCCATCCACTCCATCCCTTTGTGGTTTTGTCCTCAGTCATGGCCATTTGCACAAAGCGGCTTGGTCAGAGGATAACAGGCTCTTTGGATAATGGGATTTGGGGTGTCCTTATGGGAAGTGTGGGAAGCGAGGGAGGTCATAGCTGCAGGCCCCTCTGTGTGGGGCAGATCCCCCTGCTTCTTCCCACTCCATCCTGGGCTCCCTGGGCAGAAGGCAGCAGGAGCCCGTCACAGTGCAGCGAGACGGGAGGGGACGGCTCCCAGAAAGGATGGAGAAGCAGGGTCACGTGCGAGACCCATCTGGCTTTGCAGGGTAGGACAGATATTTGGAAGCATTAAGCTGTGTTCCCCCAGGGGCGGGCTTACATGACATAGAGTCCCCCAGCAAGCGCGGGACCCCTCCTTTAATCCCCTGAGTGCAGGAAAAGCTGCTTTGGCTGGTGTGTCTTTAACCCTGGCGGAGTGTGTCTCGGTTCGGGAGCCTTCTGCCGGCAGGGCTGTCCAGACAGAACTTAATGACCATGTTTGCTTTTATAGCAGTTACTCTTACATGCCTGTTTGTGGCAGTTACTGCTGGTTTTCCTGTTATGGTAGTGTCATAAGGTGATTTTAAAAAAACCAAAACACTGATATGAAAAGGAATGGTTAGTTGATTTCAAGTATCCATCGAATATGTGGAATATGGGCACGGCAGTGAAATCAGAGGTGCCGTGCAAACACACCCGGTCGGGCAGCGCTGGATTAGGGAGAAAGGGCTTGTTCTGTCGCAGGAAGATTTGCTAATCACCCGAGCTGTGCAAGGATGGAGTAGGCTGTGTGCTTCCCTGTCACAGTGGGTGTGCGGAGGGCTGGACCGCCTCTCCAGAGGTAGGGTGGGGGAGGGGGTGCAGGCGTGGGATGGCCACAATGGGTCTTCATTGGCTGTTTCTCGTCTGCTCTGGGTCCAGACTTTCCTCCGCTTCTGGCCCCAGGAGTGCAATCTGGACATCGCTGGAGGGCCCATGCCGGAGTACTGCAGCCTCATGCGAGAGCTCCAGCTCCAGGCCTTCCCACGCTTCGTGAGTCCAGCTTCTCCTTTCCCCTTCCTTTGAGAGGCAGGTCGTAGAGCCTGGTGAGACTAGTATTTAGGGGCCTCCTGGCTGGCTCGGTCAGTAGAGCACGCAACTCTTGATCTCAGAGTTGTGAGTTCAAGCCCCACAATGGGTGTAGAGATGACTTAAAGCCAGGCCCTTTATATGATTGTTGCATCCATAACCTTCCAGAGCAGTAAGCAGGGCAGAAATTATTATTATTAATGCATTTTACTGATAAAAATAGCCTCAGCTAATGTTTGCTGTGCCTTACTATCCGCCAGGCAGATAAGCTGCTCAACGCTTTATAGTCTCCATTAATCCTCACAACACGGCTTACAGGGCAGATGCTGCTAAGAGCACCACTCTGCAGGGGAGAGCTGGAGGCTAAGGGAGGGTGACTTCCCAGTTTATTCACATGGTCAGTGTCAAGATGGAATCTGAGTCCCAAAGACTGTGATGTGGTCACCCCTCTCTACAAAATCTCTTAAGATCTGTACACAGATGTTAGGAAGGGCCAGGCCCTCTGCTAAGCTCATACATGCACTGTCCCCATTGTTCAGATGGGTACACTGAGGCCTAGAATGGTTAGATAACATGCAAGAGGTCACAGCGAGTTGGCGGGGGTGGGACTACCGCCTGGTCCTACCTCCCTCCAAAACCCCTTCTCCCCAGTGCCTGCCCTCTGCCGCTCCCTTTCCCAGCCCCGAGCTCCCCTCTCCCCGCAGAAGCAGCGGCTGGAAGGCCTGGTGTGGCAGCCATTGTGCAGCCTGGCCAAAGCCCTGGCCGGCCCTCAGAACCTGGTCAGGAAGCGTCTGGACAAACTCCTGGACTTCGAGAGGGTGGAAGAAAAGCTGTTGGAGGTGGGCAGCGTGACGTACGAGGAGCAGGAGGCCCGGCACACGTACCAGGCCCTCAACTCCCTGCTCATGGCCGAGCTCCCGCAGCTGAACCGGCTGGCCATGCGCTGGCTGGGCCAGATCCTGTGCACCTTCGTGGGCCTCCAGAGGGACCTCGCAGAGCAGGTGCTGCAGTGGGCAGAGGGCAGCTTGGCCCAGGTAAGGCCTCCGGGACTGGGGCGCCTCTGCCAAGTAGCCAGAGCCTCATAGCCCTGCAGCCAGCAGTTCAAGGGGGCTGGCATGGAGGGAGATTAGGCCGTCGGTGCTTAGCAGGCGGCCGTGGGGACCTCCTGGACCTCTCTTATGTCATTTGCCCATTCCTGGAGTCTGATCATGTAAACGAGAATAGAACTGGGACTCCGGGCAATTCCTGGGCTCTGGGATTCAGAAGCGGAGGAGGCTCTGCTGGGAAAATAGCAGACCTTGGGGCCGGTCCTTGGAATATATTAGAAGTCGGTGACAGAGGCCCGGCCCTTCCCCGAAGTCAGGAGTCAGTGTCTCTGGTTGGCATTCCCACTGCTGTGACTACTTCTAGTAGCTGCATCCTTGTGAGCACGTGGTGTGTCCCTCCCATGCATTATCCCAGCGCATCCTCACACTGACCGTAGAGCGTAGGTACCATCATCATCCGCATTCCAAAAGGAAGCCGAGGCACAGAGGGGTTAGACAGTATGCCCGAGGCCACACAGCCAATAGCAGGAGTTCACCCTGGCAGCTCAACTTCGAAGCCTGGGCTCTGAACACTGCTTGGCATCCTAGTAGAAAAGTTGTCCACTGAAAAATCTATTTATATAGATCACAAAGAAGTTTGGACAAACTTCCAAGGACAAACTTTGAATTCAGAGCTTTGAGGACCAGGGCTGATGCAGGGAAGAAAACGAGCTGCTTTCAGGTCTGTCTCTGTCAACATCAGAGCTGAGGGTCTGTGGGCCTGGCCCCCAGGATGGTGCAGACTCCTCAGAGCACACACTGTCTCCTGGGCTTCATGGTCCATGACTCAGCCGCCCCCTTGCACTGTGTTGCATGAAACTTCCTCTGAAACGTGCATGCCCCCCGGCTCCTTGTCCCAGTCCACTCTGTGGTCCCACTTCCTGTACACCGCTTCTGAGTGTGACCACGTCCCTTTGCACAGACCCCTTGCTTGGCCTGAAATGCCCCCAGCCCAGGGCCCCCTATGCCTTTCACAGTGCCTGGTGCATGGTAGGAACTCCCCAAATACGTGACAGATGAATGAACCTTTCCATGAGGCTCTCAAAGCCCCCTCTTGCAGCTGGGAGAGCCCATCTCTCCATCGAACATACTCCAACAGCCCTTAGGATGTGCTGTGCTAAGCTCTTCGCAGAGCCTGCCTTCATCTGGGGTGCTGGAAGAAGCTGTTTCTCTTCATTGAGGAGGGCTGGGATGATAGGCTTTTATTCTTTTGGGCCTTCAAAGCATTTAGTACAGAGTTCTGTCTTAGACATGCTTTTTGAATTTAATTAAGCCTGAACCATCTGCTAAAAGAACCATTTCTCTTTCCCAAAGCCAGAGGGTCAGTGTGATTAGATGAGCGTCATTCTCTTTCCACCCTCCAGTTCTGTCTGCAGGACTGCCAGGCCTCTTGTGTTTAGACTGGGATGTGCGGGCCTGGGGAGTGTTGCTGGATGCCAGCAGCAGGAAGATCAACTTTATAAAAGCAGAAAGTGGGCCTTTCCTGGTTGGGCCTGTCCTTTTGAATGTTCGGACCTGTCAGTGACTGGTGCCAGCTTCCTTGTCTGTGTCCCATGGCCCATTGCCCTGGACCAGTCCCGTGGAGCCTGGGAAAGGCCTGCATGGTAGAACTTCAATCTGTCTGCATCCTGGGGGCAGGGAAAAGGCTCTAAGTCAGACCCAAGAGCAGTAGGCTTGGTGACAAGCAGAGAGGGCAGGTCTCCATTAGCTGTGGATCTTACTCGTTCCTTGGTTGTTGGTAAGAAAGCAGGAGATGGCTCGCTAGGCCAGGGTCTCAGGATGGGGCATTACTCAGAATTCCTTGGGTTCCAAACCAGCTGAGGCATAAAGAAGTACATCCTGATTTGCATAACTGGGAGGCCCAGGAGGCGATTGAACCCACGGCAGGTGCATTCAGCACAAACATTGTCAGGGATCTGACTTTCTCTCCATCTCCTAGCTCTGTTTCCCTGTCTGGGCTGGCTTCATTCTCAGGCCAACCTTTTTCTGCATGGTGGGAGAGACAGCTTTTACATCTCAGCATCTAAAAGAGAAGTTTTCTTCTCGTTCTCAGCCTTCATATTCTAAATGTGATGGGAGGATTCTGCCTGGCCTTGCTTGGGTTTGTTGTCTAGTCCATGGGCTGCTCACAGCAGATGGGAGAAGGGAGGCCATGCCTTCCAGCCCTGTGGCCACAGCTCCATGGTGGGCAGTATTCCTAGACTCCAACAGAAGGACGCTTTCTTGAAGGACACTGAGCAAGGCAGTCAGCAGACACATATGACAGCTGATGAAGACGTTAAAATCCCTCTTCACACACCTGGGGCTGGAATGTAGACTACCAGAATCTTTCTGTCCCCTTCCTCCCAGAGAATGCTCTGATGACAGTGTCTATCCCACAGCTGCCCCACTACCACCTCTCCGAGCCAGCCTTCTGGAAGCTGGTGGAGGACACCCTGGGCCAGAATGGTCACCAGCTTCGCTCCTTTCAAGAGAACTTTGAGAAAGTGCTGCCACCTCCCACCGTACAAGTAAGTGTCCCTCCTTGCCCCACAGACTGTCCAGTTCTTTACCTGCCAGTGGGGGAAGGCCCAGTCCCGTTTCCTTTTCTTACCCCAGGTTTCCCTGTACCCTTTCCCTCTCTTCTTTCTGTCTGTGAGCCAGAGGAGGTGATAGGATTCACACCACCTACACACATGCTCCTCATGGCCAATAAACATCAGAGAAGAACAGTAGAATATTAAGTGCAATTAGACATAATAACAGACAAGTGACATCAGCATCCCCAAACCTGGAATTTCACATTTTTTAAAAAAAGCTTACTCTGTTTCCTTACCATCCCACTGAACCGGCTTCAGATACCAGCATTCAGGGTAAATAAAAAGTGGGAATAATAAATCATTTACATTTTCATTTTGCTATGGCATTTTCAGTTGCAAAACATAGCATTTCAGCTGCATTATGGTTTACAGACTTTGGCTGGCCAGATGCTTTTCTGGGTAAAGTATTTTTCTCTAAAATAGAAGGAAAGGGTATGTTTCCGGTGCACTTGAAGGATGTACGCAAGTAGCATACGTTGGAAGTGGAGCTGAAGTAGCCAAAGGGAGAAGGGGGCCCCGCAGGGGACAGACCTGGACGAGAGGCTCCTAAAGCTGTGTGTTCAGTCCCATGTGAAATGTGAAGTCAAGGGTGGGGAGATAGGGCCAGGATTCTCTGGAAGTGAGGAAGGGGCCCCAGAAACCCAGAGAGACAAGTAAAGGAGCCCATCCCACAAGGGCTGGCCCGTAGAGGTGGCCTGTGCACCTGACTGGAATGCAGAGAAGGCCAAAGGCCATCAGGGATGCAAGCCCTCTCCTAGGAGAGCGGACTCTTCCTTGGGCCACAGCCGTGCTCCCCTCTCCCCCCACACCAAGGCTGTCCCAGCCAGAGGTCCCACAGGGGTTGGGGTGGCGTGGGCCCTACAGTGTGGGGGGAGGACAGGTACAGAAAGTAAAGAGCAGAGCAGCCATTCAGATGAGTCATGGGAAACTCCTCTGTCTCTCTACTTGAGATAATAATATTTTTCTTATTGGAAAAGCGTTTCATGCTGATTGTAGAAAAAAAGAGAAAACACAGAAAAACAAGAGAAAGGAATGGAAACATCATGATCCCTATGTATGTGACAAACTGGCAGGAAGAGAGGAGATGCCCCCTCTTTTCCACCTTTGTTCCCACCCAGCCCCCCACGCCCCTCCTACGCATTCCTGACTTCTTTGGCTCGTGGTTCAGAACCCACAGAAGTGAGGTGGTCTCCCGGGACAGAAGCAGTCCTCCTGATATTCTTCCACGTGTCCCCTTGGTCCCTCCAGGGAATGCGGCTCTTCTCTGCCCGGGGCCTCTCGGACTTGAGAAAGAAGGCAAACGTTTCTACACGGCTAGCTTTTACACTCAGGGTAACACCTCCATTCTGGGGAAAAAAAAGTTCCCCTGTCTCCACATCCACCTAAGGGCCTGTTTAGAAACATCAAGTTCTGCTAGTTCTTGAGCCTGACTAGTGAACCCACTGGAGTAGGGGTAATGGCAGAATGGCAGAGTCTGTGCCCAGACATCCCTGAAGGGCCCCTCTGTCTGCTTTCCCTACACCAAGCACCTCCTCCCCCCAGAAATTACCACATAGAATATGATCGCTGTATATATATACACACACATATATAGTCAGAGAATCTATAGTAAATCTGTATTCAATGTTTTTAGTTTCTTCTTTGTTTTGCAAAAAGGGGACCATCACCCCTGAGTCTTTTCTTGGTGATACTTTTGTTGGAAGAAATGAACAAGAAAACAAAGGCAGTGCCAGGAGATTTTTGGATGCGTGGAAAGCACCCCTGAGTCATTCTTCCCAGCTAGCTGGCCGTTTCCATCAGGGAAGAACTGTCTTCTGCATTTCTGTTACCCCATTCAGAAGGCTTACTGTGCATTGTAAACAGTAGGTGCTTGATAAATACTTGTGGGATAGAAGATAGCACTCCTTTCCATCACACGTGAGGGAGGGTCTGTGCGCATCACCCCATGCCGGCTGTCGGAGCAGCCGCACGAGTCAGGCCTGGTGCCCGTGTGAAGGTCATGGTCTTACTCATTCAGGCTGGAAGACCTGTGCCGGGCTTTTTCCTGTGGGGTTATTCAGCTTAATGCTGTGGCCAGAATTTAGAGCCCCACCCTAGAGTTCTGTAACTGAGAACTTCTGGAAGCTGAATTAGAATTTTAGAAAATTCCAGAAGTTTAGACCTAGGAGGGATTTTTTTAGAGGTTAAATTGAGGGGGATTTTTTGAGATCCGTTCGGAGCCTAAGAGTGTGCGTCCTTCCTCTAATCCAGGCTTCCTCTAATCTGTTAGTGAGGCGACTGTGGCCCATTGGCGGCAGAGGAAGCATCCGCGCAGGGCTCCTGGCTGTCAGCACATGGGCAGCCAGCTTTGACACACCGACTGAGGCACCTGTGTCTCTCTTTGTCCCTCCCCCACCCCCAGCCACTCCTTCCAGGGGCTGAACGCCAGGTGCAGGCTCTCCTGAGCAGGTACGGCCCAGAAAAGCTGTACCAGGTGACAAGCAACATCAGCGGGGCTGGGACTCTGGACCTGACGCTGCTGCGGGGCCAGGTTGTGGCTCTCCTTCAAAACAAGGACACCAAAGGCAACAGCAGCCGCTGGCTGGTAGACACCGGGGGTACGTGGGGCTTCGGGGGCTCTTCCCCTCCCTCTGGGAAGCCCCCCAACAGGAACCAGTGGGGAGATCCGGGCTGTGGGCAGGGGTCTGGCTATGCAGATTTGCGATGGGAATTGACCCAGGTGAAAACTCAGGGCTTGGGGCTCAGCCAGCTCAGCATGGCCCGTGCCATGCCACAGAGAGGAAGTGAGTCTTACGTTGCTACATCTGTTATCAGGCACCTGTTATGTGCCTTGCGGACCTCACAGACTTTTGGGGTAGACAGAGATGTGCAGAGAGAGCTCCAGCATCTCCTTCAAAGATGTAGATACGCAGAGAAGGCACGCTTGGATCCCAGCTACAGGGAGGACATCTGGCATCTAGAACAAGAGACGTGTGGTCCTGCCTGTCCCCCATGCACTGATCCCAGCCTTGGATGTGCTGCTCAGGTCTGGGTGCCCCAGTGTAACTGGGCAGGAGGCAATTGGCACCTTGAAACCAAGAGGAGATGGCCCAGCAGTGTCTTCCAGAAAGGGGCCTGTGACCCACAAGATGAGGGTCACACAGGCTCACTGGGAAGGGATCCACAGACAGTTTTTCCCCTTCAGACAGTGTATTGTAATTGTCACTGAAATATTTTTCTGCGTTTGAGAAAAACGATAGCCAGTTCAAAACCCGTAATTTTATTCATATTATTGGTAGAACAAGTCTAAGTTTTAAAAAGTGAGTCTATCAAAAAATTAAGTGTGTGACTCTTGATCTCAGCTCAGGTCTTGATCTCAGGGTCGTGAGTTCAAGCCCATGTTAGGCTTCACACTGGGCACAGAGCCTTCTTTAAAAAAAAAAAAAGAAAGAAAATGGTACAAATCCAACAGAAACTGTGAAAGGGCAGTCTCATGACTCAAGTTGACAAACAGCTGAATTGGATTCAAGCCAGCCACTGGGGTCAAGGGGACTGAGTTTGGATCCCAAGTCAGCCACTTTACTAACTGCCTGATCTCAGAGAAGTTAGCGGAGCCTCTCCGAGCTCCGCTGGCCCAGCCGTCAGATGGAGACAACAGTACTGACCCGGAGGCTTGGTGTGAAGACTGGACAGTCAAATGCCAGTCCCGCCACCCAGCAAGCTCTCAGGCGGTGCTGGCCGTGCACGGTGATAGGGAGCAGAACAGCGCTGGAGCAAAAACTGGGGGCACTCAGCGAAGAGAAAGGCAGTTTCTGCCTCCTGCAGAAGGCTGTGTCGAGTGAGGAAGCAGCCCCACTCTAGGTCTCCGCTTGAGGGGAAGGGGACCAGTGGTCCCAGCACCAGGAAAGCAGTATTCATCCCAGCCCGAGGGAGAACGTCTTACCCCTGTCAAAGCTGTTCAAAGCAAAGTGGGTTGCCTTGGTAGGGAATGAGCTCCCTGTCACTGGGGATGTGCAAGTAGAAGCTGGAAACAGTGAGTGTGGGTGGGTTTGTGAGGTTCCTAGATGACCTTTTCAGGTCCTCTTTCATGTTGGGAAATTGTGCTGGAGGCATTCACATCCATAAATGGTGCTGACTTCCTCTACCACTAAAAGGGATGGGAAGGGCCGTCTGTAGCCTGATAACATTGTGCGTGTCCTATAGGACATCGAGGGTATGCGCCAGCTGGGAAACTGGAGCTGTACCATGTCATCTCCGGTCAGGAGGAAATCAAAGGGCAGGAGAGGGCTCACCAGGACTCCTATCACCTGGCACCAGAGCCCATCCCAGCCCCTGTGCCCTCTCTCCCAACGGTGACCCAGGTGAGTGTGGGAGAGGGGTGGGGTTTGCCCTCCCATAGCCACCTGGAGTGGGGCTTTGATCTTCCTCCTATTGGAAGAGGCTACCGTCCCTTGAGGCCGGGGCCTTGGTCAGTGGCCACAGTCCTGGTCAGGACTGGACCTGGAAAAAGGAGGATTTCATCCCTGCCACATAAACAACCCCTTGCTCCCTATCAAGGGGATGAGCGGAATTCATTCATTCATTCACTGTTTGCCAGGCATTGTGCTAGATGAGAGATGTAATCATGAGCAAAAGTAAATCTTGGTCCTTGCCTTCCTCAGATTTTTAACCTGGGGGTGGGGAAAACAGCAATTAATAAAATAATCATGGGAATCATTGTAAAGTTAGAGCAGTGATAAGTGCGGGAGCCCTAGGTCTAGTGGGAGAGGTGCAGGAAAGGCTTTTCTAAGAAGAATGATGCTTTTTCTCTGATTTGAAGGGTGAGCAGGGATTAATTGGATAAAGGGAGTGTGCTGGGGTGTGGATGGGAAGAGCTCCCCAGAAAGTGTGCATCGTGAAGGCAGAGGCCCAGCGTGTTTGTGTGTGTGCACGTGCACATGTGCATGTCTGTGTGTGGACAAAGGAGGGGCACGTGGCGGGGAGGAGAAGGTAGGGGTGCGGTGCTGCTAGAGAGGTCGGCAGGGCCAAGCTAGGGGGGCCATGTGGCCTTGGCGAGGGTGTCCCCCTTGGCTTCAGAACAGTGGGGAGCCCAGATGCATGTTCGCAGCAGCATTAGTCGTAACTGCCAGGAAGTAGAAACAAGCCAAGTGTCCATCAGCAGATGAGAGTGGGTAAGTGAGATGCAGCATAGCCACACAACGGAGTATTACTCGGCCGTGAAAAAGAAGGAAGGGCCTGTATGTGGCATCACATGCAGCTCTGTGTAGAAGGCCTCGTGCTGTATGACTTTATATGAAACGTCTAAACCAGGCAAATGGCTGGAGACGGGAAGTACATCAGTGGTTGGCAGGGACCAGGGTTGGGGGGAGTTGGGAAGGGACTGCTATCTCCAGTGGGGGTTCTTTTTGAGGGGATGTAAATGTTCTGGAATTAGAAATGCTCATTTCACAGACTTTGAGCCTATTAAAAACTACTGAATTGTACACTGTAAAAAGATGACTGCTACAGTATTTGAATTCTACCTCAAAACCAAAAAAGTGATGGGAAGCAATTAAAGGGTTTGGCTTTGCTGGGATGGAGTCGTCGAGGGAGGAGAAGCTCTGTGGGGTCGCTGTGAGGGCCGGAGGAGCTAGGAAGGCCAGGCCAGGCATATGTGAGCCTCAGTAGACGGCAGCCACTCTCCCCGGTGGAATAGAGCTTCACCTGTGACAGGTGGGCAGTAGAAAGGGCAGGAGCAGCGACAGGGAGCAGTGGTAGGAAACCAGAGACTGGCGGTGAACAGTCCGGGAGGCCTCAGGCCAGAGAGGAGCCTCAGGTGGGCTGTCTGGGGGCAGCGGAGAAGCCTGTATGATGTGAGGCGTGCAGCGTGGGGCACATCCCCAGGAAGGCTCCGAGGGCCAATGCCTCCTGCTGGGCATTCCCGCCCATCAGCCAAGAACCCACAAGGAGCTCCCCAGAGGGCCTGGCCGGGCCCCAGCTCCACCCAGTGTGGGCAGCATCTCTAGGTCTGGGTGAGCCCAGCCATCCATCTTCCCAGACACATCAGCCACTTCCTCTGTTCATGGGTCCACGCTTGTGGAATGGTCCCCGTCCTCCCCCGCTTCTGACTGTTCCGGAGGGTTGGCTGCAGTAACAGCAGGAATGGTAAACAGAGTCAGAGCAGCCCACATGTACTGAGCCCTGAGCGTGTACTGGGCACAGACGCACATCATTCATTGAACTCCCACAATTACCTGGAGTGGGGGATGCTATTACTTCCATTTCGCAGATGAAACTGAGGCCAGGGACGTGAAATATTAGCCTAATAACTACCCTCTCCTCCAGTCCCCCCCTCCCCAGTTCAATGCCTTTCCTTAAAGATTAACTGAGTACCCTGATCCCCAGTCTCTACTCCAAGTTGGGAAGCGGGCCTAGGGAGGTGACACCCTCAGATCCGGGGAGGGTTTTGGTGGAGAGGCTGCCACGTGCTCTGCTCAGTGGGGTGACAGCAGTGGACCAGGGCACCCGTACTGACAGGCCTGGCTTCGTTGCTGTGTGATTTTGAATGAGCTCTTTGACTTCTCTGAGTCTCCATTTCCTTATCTGAAAAATGGAGCAGATAGAATTATAGAACTGTGAGAGTCAAGCCCAGGGAACACGCTGGAACAGAGCCTGGCACACAGTGGGTATTGCTGGTGGAAGTGGCAGCGGTAGCCTTCCTCTTTAGCATAGAGGATGTCCTTGGGAGGTGGTGACTGCCCCGTGGGCACTGAGTCGGGTGGGAGGGAGCAAGACGAGAATGGCATCTCTGGGTTGGGTGTGTCTGTCCCCCTGCCGCACTGTTTCTGTGTCACTCCCCATGTGTTTCAGGTGGTGGCGGTGTACCCCTTTGTGGCCAGAAGCAGCCATGAAGTGAGTCTGCAGGCGGGCCAGCTGGTGACTGTCCTAGAGGCCCAGGACAAGAAGGGGAACCCGGAATGGAGCCTCGTGGAAGTGAACGAGCAGAAGGGATATGTGCCTTCCAGCTTCCTGGCCAGGGCCCCAAGCCCAGCTCCGTGGGGCTGGAGTCTGCCCTCCTAGGGTGCCTGCTGTGGTGCCCGGGCTGCCAAGGGACAGGGAGGCTTGGATGCTAGGACCCTGTGAGAGGAAGGAATCCAAGAGAAGGCGGGGGTGAGAGGGGAGATCAGGCCTAGGTGGGGTGAAGGGCAGCCAGTAGAAGTGGGTGGGCCTTGCAGGCATACCCGGCGTGGGTGAGCAGGAAAGGCTCCAGCCAGAGCCGCTCACCAGGTCTGCAGAAAACGGGCTTCCCGTCTGAAGTCCCAGCAGCCTGGATGGCAGGTCAAGTTGATGAGGACTTGCTGTCGTTAATGGCCTGTCTTACCTGCACTCCCATCCAGCCCTGCCCACCGAGTGGGTCGCGCAGGTGAATGTTACCTGTGTGCGTGGGGTTGCAGCGCGCTGGAGAGGTCCAGAGCTGTCTGGCCTGACAGTTCACTTCCTGCATGTTGCATCAGGAGACACCGCAGCCAGCAAATGCTGGCAGCTGAGTTGTCTTGGGCGGTGAACCTCCCCTCTCTAGCTGAGGAGCAAGGCTCGTGAGGGCAGTGGAAAGGTTCTCCTTGGCGGAGCCTGGGAGCGGGTGTGGCTGGGTCACCGTTCTGGAATGTGTTTAGGCAAATTCAGAGGCTGTTCCTGGGAACCGGAGATTTTGAGGGTGAGGAGTGAGGGTGTGGGCACATGAGGCTGTGTAGCTACTGGGCTTGTGTTCTCTGCACTAGGGAACAAAGGGCATGCAAATTGCTTAGGCAACTCTGTGCAGCAGGTGATGGAAAGCCTGGTGGGTGGGGGAACTTGGGGAATGGCTTCCTTTCCTGTTTCTGGAAGTCGGGAGCCAGGGGGAGCACCCGGTGGTTTCAGGGCCTGGAGGTAGCAGGTGCATGTGGGTGTCAGTTGGAGGAAGGGCCTTAGACATAGGACACAACCTCAGTTTTCTCATCCACAAAGATCTAACTCACAGGGTTGTGGCAAGAATGGCCTGAGGCTAAGGACAGGAAGCTCCTTGTAAATTGTGAAGTGTGATAAAAATGTCAGTTCTCATGGTAGCAGGATGCAGCCTAGCAATAGTCTCAGGATGGCCCCAGCACCCTCAGGCCCAGCTGCAGAGTGCGAGCCTCTGCAGGCCCTGCCCAGCCGTGGCAGACACTGGGAGTCAGCATGGGGCCCTCTCCCCTCAGCCCAGGAGCTACCTCAGGGCCTCTCTCCACACCGCTTTCTAGGTAGCCAGTCTCTTGAACTTGGTGAGGTCAAACCCATCACCATCCCTTTCTGGGACCTGGAAATGGGAAAAACAGTACCTGTTCAAGGCAAACCAACCCACTGGGGCCGTTCTGGGAGCAGCCACCGTTGAATCACCCTCTCTGGGTTGTCACTTTGGCTAAGATACATCTCAGGATTCATGGAAGAGGCCAGGGGGTCTGGCCTGACCTGTAATACAAATTATACATTTGGGGGCCGACCCAATCTAGAGGCTGGGGGAAAATCCAGTGGTAGCTTAGACTTACATCCAAGAACCTCTCCATGGTATTGTAACTGTAGTGCCTAAAGAGTTAGCTCTGGCTTTGGGAGGGCTTTTAAGAAATATATACATGCCCGCGTGAGATCTGCACCTCACTCCTCAGTTCAGGAAAGTGGGAAGATGGATTGTGCAAGAGAAACTCAGTCCCCACTGACCCCGTGCTCGCACCAGATTCACTCTGTAAGATGCTCTTGACTCATTTTCCTTTCTCTTTCCCACTAAGATTTCTAATACAAGGAGAAGGCATAGGGGAGCATTTACAAGACAGGAAATCCACGTGTGGGTCCCTCAGTGTTTACGGAGACTCTCCTGTGGGCTAGAACCCCAGCTCAGGCTTTTCAACCTGCCTGCTTGCTGCGGGGCCGCGACTGATGCCAGGATCCCGCCCCCCCACCGCCCCGCCCGCAGAGATTATAATGGAGTTGGTCTAGGCTGGGGCCAGGCCCTCAGGAACTCAGAAAGCTCCCCAGGTGCTTCCGGTGTGTCCCCGGGACTGGGGACCTCTGCCTGAGACACGCAGTAGTGGATGAGACAGGTCTGTAGTCCGAAGTGGCCGCCAGCTGTCAGCTGGGATGTGTCCCCTCTGAGTTCTGTCCTTGCTCAGATGTTTTGAACAGGCAGCTTTAGAGATGTTTTGAAAGAGGACAGCCTGTTCTGTCAGGTCCCAGAATGTATATTTATTAAGTGCCATTAAGAGGGACCTGAACAAAACTGGATGTTCTTGAAGGCAGAAGGCAGAAACCTGGAATACATGTGGAACCACATCTGTTTCGTGAGGGGAGAACGAAAATGTCTTTGGGGGCACACGGGTTGTGGTTTCTTGTAGACCAGGGGCAAAGATCCAGAGTCAGTGACAACTGAGAAAATGCATGTTGAGAGGCAGAGAATGGCCTGGATTTTCTGCAGAGGCCTCTGTGTAGTGTGCCTTGCCCCTGCCCCCCGGAAGCCTGGAACCCTGCGCTGCGTCCTCCGTCCTACGTATCGCCCTGTGGGGCCGCCTCTCCCTGAACTTGCCAGGGTGTTTGCCCGGGAACCAGACAAGGCTGATGCCAAGGGCGGCCCTTGCTCCCTGCCACGGAGTGCGACCTCTTGAACCTTTTCGGCCCAAACCCAGGTCTGAACGTGAGGGCAAGGTTACAATATGGAGGAAAGATGAATGGAGTCCTGCTCACTGTGGGGAGCTCTAGCTTGGTGAAGCAGTGACGGGAACTGCTAAGAATAAAGGACTTTAAAGAGGAAAACGTCTCTGGAGTTTGCGGGACTCTAACCGTTGGAGAGTCAGATGCCCCAATGGGACAGGTGTTCATAAAAACAGGACCTCGGGGCGCCTGGGTGGCTCAGTGGGTTGGGCCACTGCCTTCGGCTCGGGTCGTGATCTCAGGTTCCTGGGATCGAGTCCCGCATCGGGCTCTCTGCTTGGCGGGGAGCCTGCTTCCCTCTCTCTCTCTCTCTGCCTGCCTCTCTGTCTGGTTGTGATCTCTCTCTGTCAAATAAATAAATAAATAAATCTTTAAAAAAAAAAAAACAGGACCTCGTTCGTTCATGTGTTCATTTTCCTCTTTTTTAAGAAATTTTATTTACTTGAGAGCGAGCGTGCACGCACAGAAGTGGAGGAGTGGCTGGGAGAGGCAGAGGGATCAGCAGACTCCCCACGAGGCAGGGAGCACAACCCGGGCCTCAATCCCAGGACCCGGAGATCATGACCCGAGCTGAAGGCAAACACTTAACTGACTGATCCCAAGTGCATGTGTTCATTTGATAAGGGTCTACCACACATCTCTGGTGCCTCTAGGAGTTGGCCTTGGCTGCTGAGATACAGTGAGAAGTCAGATGGGGGCCCTGTCCTCCCAAAGCCCACTGTCTGGAGAGGGAGACAGACAAGTCAGTGGTCCATTACATGCAGTGTAAGTGTTCGCACAGGGCAGTAACAGGTGCCACTGGAGCCCAGTGGAGGGGTCAGTGTCCCTAACCAACACTGGGCCACTAAGGAAGGCTTCCTTAAAGAAGTAACATCCAAGCTGAGGCTTAAAAGGTAACTTGGGTTGGGTGAAGGTGGGACAGAGGGCACATGCAGAAGGCCCAGAGGTAGGCATAAGCATGTTTCATCAGGGAACCAAAACACTATAGAGCTAGAACGCAGGGTGTGTGGGGGAGTACTAGGTGCAGGGAGAGATGGCTTTGAGATGTCCACATGGGAAGGAGCTCTGAGTTGTGTTCTGAGACTGGTAGAAAGCCACTGAAAGGATTGATGTAGAGAAGTGACATGCTCAGGGTCGCATTTTAGGATGCAAGCTCCAGTTCATTCTGGAATTTCCCCAGGGTCCTATCACATGGCTCAAGGAATAAATTGTCAATGCACATTGCTCACATAAACATCCCAGAGGTGACAGGAAGCCCTGCCTCCCAGGAATCTCCCGCCAGCTGGAGAGACAGGACATACAGGCATCAGGCAATTACTTGCTACCACAGGGTAGCATGCTGTCAACCCCAGAAGGGGCCTACGGACCAGGCTTATAGGTGCTCACATGAGAGGGAGTTTTGGGGGCTGAAGTGATCAGGGAGGCTTCCTGGAGGAGGCAGGGCAGGTGCCAGGCCTTTGGGGATAAGTGGGATTGGGGAAAGCAAAAGGGAAAGAAAGGCCTTCTCCGGCCTAGGGAGGCAGCATGGTGGTGTGGAAAATTGCCCCACTCTTGGCCTTAGAAATCCTGAGTTCAAGGCCTGCTTGACCATAGACAAGTAACAGGGCGCTTACGGCTTCTGCATGTGAATAAGTGGGATGAGGGTCCCCAGCCTGCCCTGTCCTCTTAAAGTACTCATCGTATCATCCTGATTTATCCTAAGGAGGCACAGGCTCTCCCACCGGGACCTAGCGTCCAGCGTGGAAGTCATCGTAGGGCCTATTGAGCAGGACAGAGCCTAAAGTATCCTGGGCTGGGGTTATGGAAAGAACAGGATTCCACTTCCGGCAATATCAGGAAGAACAGCTAGCCTGAACCATGCATTCATCCATCAATTCAGGCTACGTTCAACTAGCCTGAGCCACTTAACCTTGCTCATCTGTTTTCTTAGCGGTAATTTCCGTATTTACCTTTCCTGTTTCCTCATCTGTAAGATGGGTGTGATTCCCATTCTCACGGGGGTGTGGGGGTGAGAAAATTAAATGGAACAGTCCAAGTGAACGGTCACGGATAACACGTCAGGAACCTCACTGCCCGGCCATGATGGAAAGTGTGGGCTGTGGCCACCAGGTGGCAGCAGGGCTCTACCAGTCTGCTGAGGGGCCGCCTGAAATGCCCGTGGGGCGGGGCGGGGCAGGGGGCGCAGTTGAGCTGAAGGACCAGGTGAAAGACGTTAGGGAGTGGTGGGGACTGCCATAGACCAGAGCCCTCACCCACAGTCCAAAGCAGCTAGCAGCTTCCGGGCTCTAACCAACATTCCACATCAGAATGAGGGACCAGTGGTGCCAAACATTCTGATTTTTTTTTTTTTTTTTTTTTTTTTTTTAATGAGAGAGAGGGAGAGAGAGAGAGCATGAGAGGGAAGGCCAGAGGGAGAAGCAGACTCCCTGCTGAGCAGGGAGCCCCAATGTGGGACTCAGTCCTGGGACTCCAGGATCAGGACCTGACCTGAAGGCAGTCGCCTAACCAACAGAGTTACCCAGGTGCCCAGACATTCTGATTTTTCAAGAAGCCAGAAACCAGGGTTTTGTCTGTTTTT